CCTGTGTTTAGAATGAATCACACAACAGCTTTGCTAAGATCTAAAATGTACATGGATTGTACTCCGTAACCTGTGAGCTTTTTGATAAGTATCAGTACTGATCCTCTCCCTGGTAAGGGGAATGTTGAAGCCACAGTTGTTTGGGTGAGGGCCATTTCCATAACAGGGCCGAGTTAGAAAGAGCGTTCAGAGGCCGGGAATGTGTCACTGGGATTAATTAGCATGGGTAAATGACTTCCCAAGGTCACTCTGTGAGTCACCGGTGTGGCTGGGGCTGGCACCCAGTTCTCCCAGCTTGGAAGAATCGGCCTCCTTGTTGGCATTATTGTTGCATGTGACTAGCTCTAGATGACCTTGGGGGAAATCACTTCGGATAGGAGAGCTGCAGCTCTGCAACTGTACAAACTGGAGGACACACAGTCCTCACAAGACCGCCTCCGGCTGTGCCTAAGAGCAGCTGCTGGTTTGGCTCTTTAAAAGGGTCCAACCTATAAGGCTCACCTTGGCCCGTTAACCTTCTACCACCACCAAAGCTAGGAACCCTATTTAAACTTCAGGGTGCCCATAGGTGACTGCTTCTTTCATCCTTGGCAGTCCTTGAAGTTCATTATTGCCAGCCATTGTGATTTCCCAAACTCACATTTCCCAGACATGGAAGAAACAAGTTCCAAGAAGCCAGTCTGATGCTTGTTTTTTGCTCGGCTTGACTGAGCACCACACCGTCACTGCCAAATGTCAAGGCAAATGCTTGGAACTTGCACTCAAACCATATGAATAAGTTAATTCAAACACCCACACTTCCTCTCATCAATGTGATGGGAGAGCCCTGCAACCTCCATGTCTCAGGCAAAGGGGTTTTCCTTCCCTGACCTGTCCACATGCTGACATGTGCACACTGCCCCTCCTGAAGCCAAAGGGCACAGCCCAGGCCAGCACCCACAGCCTGGCCCAGGGAGCCCTGGAGCATGCGACGACTTAGCACATGTGAGTTTCCTTCATGCCAGCTTTAGTCAACACTGTTCATCCTTGTCCCTCAGCCTTTGCTCACATGTTCAGGTGAATAGCTCACTTACTCCTCTACATATTCAATAATTATGTATTTAGCACCTGTTATGGTCTAAGCCTGGCATGTAGTGTTGAATGCCAGCGGCAACAAAATAAACGTTCACCTTGCCTGACGAGCTTTGCAGTCTAATGGGGGAAAGAGATATTCATCAAATAGCCACACAAATAAAGGCAACAAGTTAGTGTGTGTAGGCCCAGGGTGCTTTGAGGATGCATGACAGGGAGACACAGCATTGACTTGGAAGTCATTGAAGGAGAGAATAGGTGTAAGCTGAACAAAGAGGGAGGAGAGGCGGGCTGTGCCAGGCAGAGCGAACCAGATGTGAACTGGTCCTGGGGCAAGAAGATCATGGCACATGGAGGAATGGAAAGGAGGCCAGTGTGGCTGATGACTGGAGAGTGAATTAGGATGAAGTGAAGAAACTTTACGGGGCCAGCCTCACAGGGCCTTGCAGGTCAGCCATGTGATGGACTCTGGCCTTTATTCCAGGAGCTATGGGAAGACATGAAGGGTATTTAGCACAAGGATTAACACAGTGAGACTTCTCTTGCAACAGTATCGCTCTTGCTACTGTGTAGAAAATAGCATGGAAGGAGGCAAAGAGGGGATGTCACAAAGTTATTGTGGTACTCTAGGGGAAAGATTGGGAGCAGGCAGCAGGGAGGTGGCTTTACAGATGAAAGAATGCATGAACCAGGAGGAACTGAAGACGTAGGACTGGAGGATTTGGCATTGAGTTGTATAAAAGGGGAGAGGAAAGTGTCGATGATTCTAGGGGTTTGGGATTCTTGAACTAGATGTACCAGGAGGCGGGGGTAACGTTCACTGAGAAAAGCAGCAAAGGAAGAGAATCAGGTTTGTCTCAGGCCTTTGTTTTGTCTTGTCTTTGAGTCATACTGGTGTAAGATGAGATCATAAATCTGGTTCTGGACCTGTTAAGTTTGAAGTGCCTTTGACATGCCAAGGGAGATGTAGGCAGTTAAATATAAAGGTCTAGAACAACAGCTCTAAAACCAGGGACAACTTTGCCCCCAAGGGGACATCTATCAATGTCTCCAGCCATTTTTGGTTGTCACACCAGGTGTGGGCTGCTGCTAGCTTCTAGTGGGTAGAGACCAGGGTGGCTTCCAAACATCCTACAATGCACAGGTCAGCCCCAGCCCTCACAGCAGAGAAGTACCAGCCCCAAGGTCAGCAGTGCCAAAGGTCAGAAACTGCGGTCTGCAGGTACTTGAAAGCCACTGGCTAAAATCCTTGGCACTGATGAGATCACATAGAGAAAGAATGAGAGTAAAAAGGAAGTGGGATGGTACAAATTTTTTGAGGATGTATAACACCTAATTGCTGGATGGCCCAGCATGAGAGACTAAGAAGGAGCAGCCAGAGAGTTAGGAGGAAAACTCAAAGAGAGCGGAGTCACAGAAACCGAGGCTGGGTTGGGCATAGTTAAAAATGTCAGATGCCATTGAGAAGCCTGAGGATATGAGGACAGGAAAGTTCCACTGCATTTAGGGATGTGGAAGTCGCTGGCAGCCTTAGCAAGAGCGGTTTGGGCCACAGGATATTGGGAAAAGACACTGGAGTGAGGGATGAAAAAAGGGAGGCAGCTAGTAGGGACAGTGCTTTTAAGAAGTTTGGCTATGGAAGGGAGAAGAGAGAACAGTCCCGGCAACGTGGAAGTCAAGAAGAGTTTGGGGTTCAGTGGTGTTTTTTGTTTTATCTTAAATTTTTTATTATGGAAAATGTCTGACACATATAAAGTACAAACCCTCTGTGTACCCTGGGTATGGACTCTGGATTCTGTCTTGTTCCTCTCAAAAGTAATTTTTGTTCTAGGGGGCAGACAGCTTGGCTGGACTCAGACTCTAAATTCTGTCTCTCCTCATGGGCAGTGATTGAGATTTCCCTGCTCAGTTCTTGTAGCTCCCAGATGCAGCTTTTTGTTTCTGTTTTTTCTGCCAGGCCCTGGTGTATGCATAGGTGAATGGTCAGCCAATGATTTGGGCAGATTGTATACACAATCTCTGCAGCTCCTTCCCTTCCAGAACTTCCCCATTCACTTCCTGCCTGCTCTTCCAGCCCCAACTCTGTTCTGACTCCTCAGGCTGGGAAGGCTTTGGCTTTCCGCTGCCCTAGGTTGCTTGCAGATCAAACTGCCCTCAGACTGAAAGCTACACATTTGCAAATCTTAAGAGATATAAACCCTGCTTTCAAAGGTAGATTCCCCTTCAGTTTCTGCCTGCTGCTGGGCAACCTCTATTGCCTTAAAATATACACATCTCTAAATTTTAAAACAACAATATAAATCGTTTTTTAAAATAACAGTTTTATCACTAGCTGCAGAAAGTTTATGCTGTCCAAGAGACTTTCATTACCAGAAGCCAGACATTTTTAAGATGATAAAGTCTTGGGCATATTTTAGGGCTGATGGGAAATAATACCTGGTAGAGAGAGAGAAGGGAAAATGAAGTGTAAGGCTCTATAATAATCACTGGTACTGGAGGGGTGGAGATGTTGGCTGTGGAGGCAGAATTCTGTGGGTTTGGTGGTGGGAAGCTCACAGAGATGCCATCCCACAGCTTCCTGTGACATCAGAGGCCCGGTCACTACAGGAGTTGGGGGGAAGGCAAGGCAGTTGGGGGTTTCGGAGCAGTGAAGTTTAAACTAGTGTTTGCAAAGAGTGAAAAGAGTATATTTTGACCACGGAAACACTGTTAAAAACAAAGAGTGGTCAGTGTTCTGAATCCATGTGGGTTGACAATGATGAATTTATGGTGGTGCCCGTTGGTCTGCCCGTGGTAGGATTTTTTCCACTTGGCTTTTGGCTGCCTGGGTAAAGGCACCCAGGGGGAAAAAAAAGTGGGTTTTTCTAGGGTTGAGGGTTTTATTAGACTGGTGAGACCAAAGAGCAGGGCCAAGGGTGTTCACAGTATTGACTAGGAAATGATTTCAATAATGGACCCCAAATCTGAGCATGTCATGAAGCTATGGAAAGCATTTTTTGGGAGTCAGTAGAAGGGGGAACTGTTTTCCCATACCTCGCCAGCCCACTCACACCAGCAAAACAGACTGAGCGTTTGACCTTGGGCTCTCCATAAGCAAAAGGAGCCTGTGTCTTGGGTGCACTGGACAAAAAAAGGAAAAGAAGAAAGTGGCACAAACTCCTTGCCATCCTCTGCTCCACTGCCCTGCCCTCCTCCCCAGGTACACATAATCTCATCCCAGGTTCCCAGGGCAGAAGACTCAGGTCTACGTACATAGGCCTACACTTTACGAGTTCCAAATCAAGCTAATAAGCCATTAAGTAAAATATGTTCCATCCTTCTGCCTTTTCAAATATACCTTCTTGATGGTCTGCAAGACCAAGTTTGAATCTAGAATTTTCAGACTTCGGTGGTGCAGAGAAAATTGGCTCACATCTGGCAGCCCACCCCTCTTCCTATCCTAGCTCCATCCCCCACTGCAAAAGGCCTCATATATACGTGTCTGGACACCATAACCTACATATCCAAGTTCTAGTCACACCCAGGCCTAGGGGGCCAGTCATCGCAGTGCAGGCTGTACTCAAAGCTAGGACCCAGAGAAGAGGCCCATACTGTGCCTTAAAGCAGCCTTTAGGCAACTGGTCAGAGAATTCTGGGGTCCTGTGTGCCTGGTCTAGAGGGAGAAAGGCAGGTGCAGGTTCTGGTGAGTGCAGGCTCCAGGCAGGCACAGCCCTTGACGGGGTAGACTCCTTGCCTGTGGAGCAAAGAAACTGGAAGGAGGCCAGATCAGGGCCCTCTCAACCACTGGGGCTTCAGGCAGGGACCGCTTTTGCCCAGGTCTATGGGAATATTATGTGATGCAATGACATACACACGGTGTTTATTCTCTTTGCTCTACTCCTAGTCTGACTGCGTGGTGTCTCTGTGTGTACATATTTTGTTTCTCCTAGGGGGCTATTTATCACCATTCATGACAAGGGCCATCTTGCAACGATGCTGAACTCTTGGCCAGAAGATGATATCAAGGTATGATCCTTTTTCTTTGCTATTGCTCTCTCATTGGATGAATCCTTTCAGCCTGGACCAGAGTCATTCCCAGCTATAAAATGAGCCATTGCAACATTGAAGGGAAGACACTGCACCCCTTTCCCAGGCCTTTTACAGCCAAGTGTAAATGCACCATGGAGCAGAGGTGTGCATTAACCAGGCACCCATGGGAAATCGGCCTGTATCACTAGTATCTGAAGATATATTCCTTAGGTATTGAGTACCCACTAAAAATCCACTGCCAGTGTCCATGATGGACACAGGGGAAAATCAGACACAGACCCTCTTCTCAAGTAGTTGGCTTTTCATGAGGAAAATAAGACAGTGACTAACATGGTGGACTTGACCAGAGGTAAATGAGGCACAGAGAAAGAGTTGGGGGTGTTCCAAGAGGCAGAGATTACTTTTAGCCTGAGGACAATCTAGGAAGATTTCATGGGACAGGTGTCATTGGAGCAGGGCCTTGAATTGAGGAGTAGAGTTTGGACAGTTAGACATTGAAGAGAGTAGGATGTAGGGTGAAATTTTATTTTTCAAAAGAAAAGCTTATGAACAACATGTTCATACTTGGAAGTATGCAGCAGTATATACAGGGGTTGGGGGTGGGAGATGCATATTCAGCTTGACACACAAACCTGGCACTTCTTCCTGGAATGTCAGTTTTACTCCAGAAATTTAAGGAGAAAACATTTATATATCATAAAGAGGGTATAATGTAGAATGCAAAATTTGTGTTAATTTCAAAATACAAAACACACAGCTTTGTAGAAACATGTTAGTCTCTGGCTACATCCCCAGACCTCCTCTTTCCATATGGAGACCTGTGAAAGAGTTTGAGGGGCTCTGGCATTTCAGCTCATTGTCACTTCTGCAAACAAAATGGGTGAGGCAAAACTGCAAAATACCTGCTAGCTGCTCTGTGAGGGCGTTGCTGGCACAGGAGCTGGGAAGGGGCTGGAGCTGACCAAGCTCATACAAGTACCCCTCAGGACAGTTACTGTACCATCCTGCCTTGGCGGTGAGACTGAGGTCCTCCAGCGTGGCTTCCTCTCCCACCCTCCTTCCTTCCACCCCTGCAGGTTCCCTGAGCCACCACCACCCCACCCCACCAGACACCAAGCGTGGCTTGTCTACCTGCCTCTCTTTGTGTGCCGCCCACTTCTGGCCCCCTCAGGGGAGTGACAGCAGCTAGAACCAGAGCAGGTAGAGCAAGACCTTGGCTCTCAGGAGCCAGGCCTGAGCCACAGCAAGGGCCCTGGGCCTGCGGTCCTGGCCATGGGAGGAACTCATACTGTTCATCCGTCTGGGTGTGAGTTTGCCCTGTTTATCTGCTTATCTCTCCTGCTTATCTGCTTAGACTCCAGTTACATGCAAGCCTTGGCCCTGCAGGTTTTGGTCCCAGCCCCAGAAGAAGCAAGTTTCTAGGGTGTGTCTAGGATGAATCTAAAGATCTTGAGCACATTAAGGGAAGCCAGCTCATTCAGTGGGAAGTTAACTCAAGCCTGCCCTGTGTGGACATGCTGACAAGGACCCACAGACTGTTCTTGCACACCTTCCTGGACAGTCTGGCCATGGTGAGACCTTGTGCATAGTGGGCACTCAGCAGATGCTTGCTGAGGGGGGTGCACACTGACGGACGTGGTGGGCACCTCCCGTGTGCAGACATTGTGCCAAGAGGGGAGAGATGGGGTTTCTATTGACACATATGGTGACTTTGCGCAAGATACGAGGGACTAAAAAGAATGATGAAAAGACACCTCCTCCAAACCACTAAGAAAAAGGCTTGGTGAAGGGCTCATGGCTGGGTTCTAATTGCTCCTCTCATCAGAACACAACTTACTAAGCTATACCTATGGCCCTGTTGCTGGGAATGCAGAACAAGAAAAATACAGGCCCTGACCCCAAAACTGCTTCACTCCCTTTGGGAAACCGAGATAGGCATTCAAAATAGACCCTCAGCTGCTAAATATCTGTTGACTTCAGCAAACATATTTTGAGGGACTTCTAAGTACTAAGTGCTAGTTACCTGGGAGATGGAGCAGCAACTGTTTTAATTTTAAAGGAAGAGAAAGGGAGGCTTAAGGTCTCCCTGAAATAGGTGGGACTTGCACAGGGACTCAAATGAAAGGAGACAGCCAGAGTCTCTTGGGAAAGTGTAGGTCACATTAGCAGATCTGGACGAGTGCATCTAAGTCAGTTGCATTCAACAACCATTTAGGAAACATCTACTCTCTAAGAGTTCCCTAGGGACTCGGGAATAAAGAAGGTGGACAGGCCCAACCTCAAGGAGCTGGCAGTCTGGTTAGAGAGACTGACCTGAAGCCATTGCACCAGACTGTGTGTGCTGCCAAAGAGAGGAGCCCAGGGAACAGCAGCAGGTGGGGGACTGCCTGACCACTCCCCCTGCAGTGCCCTGGCGTGGACAGGTGCGTGCCTAGGGCCGGCTCCTCCCCTCCACCCTTTATTCCTGTCTCCCTTTGGAAAAACCCCAAGATCAATCCCCAGGAACTATGTAGAAGAATCAGCTCTGGCTTTGTGGTCAGACAGACCCGGATTCTAATCTTGAATCTTCTTTTTACCTTCTCTGTGTGCAAATAACCTCTCTGATCTTTCTTCTCCTGTTGTGAGAATTAACTATGACCCTGTACAACACTGAAGGGCAGTTGAGTGGACACATTGCTGCTAAGGTGGACGAGGTGGCTATAGTGTCCACAGCAGCAGGAAAGAGACTGCTGAGACCTGAGGGCAGTCGAGGAGGGGCCCTCTTACCTGGGAATCACAGGCCACAAGCCAGTGACCCACTGACTTCGCCCCTAAGCATGTTTGATTTGGCCCTCAGTGATTTTTGAAAATATTCAATTTGTAGGCAACATTCTAAAATTAGGAGAGTTCATTAAAAAAAAATCAACAACTTGAATTTCCAGCTTCCTCTGGAAAAATCAGAAACTCTAAATTTTGTACCCATCGTTTGGTGTATAAACAAGGCAAAAGGACTGAGCAGGCTGCCCCAGTTAACCCTAGTCCCCACCTGCCCCATCCACTGGCCTTTTCTGGAGAGTCCACTCCCTTCACCCCCAGAGCTGCCCTTACAAAGGTCCAGAATGTTCCAAGCCACAGTCTTTCTTGTTTACTGGTGTGTTTTCTCCAGTTGCCTTAGAAAGAGGAGATGAAGGTCTCCCTACCTAGGTGCAGAATCTCTGCTCTTTAGCCCTCCTTCCTGTCACTGTTTCATCTGATTCGCATAGCCTCTGTTGTCAGAGTGCTTCCAAACCCCCGAGGCGGGTCCTGATGAGCGGGCAGGGGTGTCTTTTCTCAGATGAGCAATTGCCCGCAGTACCCCCCCCCCCCCACAAGTAAGTGTGATGCCTCCCCAAGCCTGCTGCTGAACCACCTCTTCCCCAGCTGCTGTGTCAGCAAGGCACAGTTCTTTAAGGTGCAGGCATTTCAGCCCCTGATGTTATTTCTGAATCAGCTGAATCAACTGGGAAGAAAAAAGGTGATTTTCCATGGTTTCCCAGCCAGAAAGCTGACCTGCAAACTGAGATGTGAGAGAAGTAGACTGCGGGGGAAGTAAGGCCAAAGTCCAGGGCTGGAGACCCTGAGGTTTGTGGGCTCCTCTTGTTCAGGGTGGAGGTGGCGGGCCAGGCTGCCCAGAGCTGTCCAGCGTCAATCACGATGACGAATGAGAACTGCTTTTCTGACTCGTTCCCACAGAGGCCATCGCCCGGAGCCAGGAGGAAGGCTCAGCTGAGAACAGCCATCCTCCCCAAAAGCTTTCCCAAGCTCCTAAATCTCTCCCTTGTCCATCCCAATCCCACAGCTGCAGGGAGGAGGTGCTGAGAGGCCGCTGGTAGTGGGGCCAAAGGATCCGTCCAGCCACGTGGGCATTTAAACCTGGACCAGATGCTAGTGCCAAGTGCCTGCCTGGCATGCACAGGCCCACCGTGTGTTAAACCCTGCTCCGTACTCAGTGTCAGAAGTTGGACTTGCCAGGAAATCTTCTCTGAGATGTCCAGCAGCATGTCAGGGAGTGCTCTTGGGTCCACACTTCCAGAAGGAAAGGAAGCCAAAGAGAGCTGAGGGAGAGGTGGGGTTGAGTGGGGTCCCAGGGAAAACTCAGCCGCACCCACAAGGACCTTTGGAGCTGGGATGGCCCTTCAGAGTCACCCTGAGTTGCAGCAATGGAGCCGGGCCTCCACTGGCCTGCACCCATCAGTCATTGGCTGCAGGTTACTGCCCTGGGACAGGATGTGGCTTGGGGCAGCGTGGCTCTCTTCAGTGGAAGAAATTCCCAAAGTGGCTGAGAGCAGAGAGCGGAGCTGGGGGAATCACTCCGTGATTCCCGAAAGGCGGCCTGGGCAGCACCACACCCTCCTGCGCGGCAGTCTGCCAGAGTGTCTGTGTGGATTAACTCATCACCTCCTAATGACCTGTAAGAGTTAGGGATTGTTCTTACCCCCATTTAATTGACAAGGAAGCTGCGAGGTTAGGTTCTGTGCTTGCGAGGTGGGGAACCAGGATTCGAAACTATGGTTTGTGTGTTATTTATGTTGCGAGGAGACAGAGAAATGAGGAGGCAGACAAGGAGGAGGACACAGACGACAAGGAAGGAACAAGAGGAGGAGGAAAGAGGTGCACGCACAAGGCCGCGGGCAGCCCAGGTCCTAGGAAACCGCTAGAGGGGTCACGACCCTCAGGTCCACCTGGGGATAGCCCGGTCGGGTTCACCTGGGTTATGGGATGTGCGCAGGAAGTCCAGAAAGCCTGTAGGTCCAAGCTAGGTGGACAAGGGAAGAATGTAGCAAACCACTCCCGTGTCTTTGGAACTCCCCCTAGACATCCACATACAGGCACGTTATGAGTTATAAAAGCATCTAAACAAGGAAATTGTGATCCTGTAGTTCACTGATACTTACTGCTGGACTCTAAAGCCCCACGATGTTGTTCTGGTTTGCCCTCAGCCTGTTGACCTCTACTACACTAGTGGTCCCAGGCATCAGCTCTATTGACGTCATGAAGAAGAGGATGCAGTATTTTCTCTCTGAACTTCTTCATCTATGCCAGGTCTAAATTGAATCCCTTAGAGAAGATCCTTTGCTCTCTATGTGAGATATATCACATTGTCCACCATTTACTGAGTTTATGTCACATTGCAGACACCACGCTAAGTGCTAAAGAATCAAAAATGACAAGACCTGTTTACTTGCCCTAAAGAGCTTAGAACTACTATTGAAAAACAAGAAAATTATATAACTCTATACAAAAAGAGACATATAGGTGCTGTGGAAGGGGAAAATGCTGTGGGAATTCACCACTGGACAGTTCTGAGACTGAGAGATACAGGTAATGGAGGATAAGAGAAGTAAAAGGTTTAAAAGGAGTGAAAGAGAACAGTGGATTCATTTGGTTAAAGACTCAAGGGACTTCAGAGGACTATCACACATCCAAGTGGCAAGCAGGCAGCACTACGTGTCATCTGCTTAGAGATGACAGTAGAAGCTGTTGGAAGGGATGAGATGTCAAGGTCAGAAAACTATTGAGCTTTGCATGGCCAGACTTTCTTAAAAGCTGCCAATGTCTCTCCTTGGTTTCCCTTTCATTCATTTATTCAACAAATAATTACTACATGGCCTTTCTGTGGTAACGCTGAACTAGAGAGAGGTGAAACAATTAAAATTCTAATATGTAATCTTTGCCCCAAATAATAATCAGCAGCCATTTACTAACCACGTATACAAGGCACCTGGTTAAAATGAGACTTACGTCATTTCATCTTTACAATGATGTGGTGAGTTAGGTACTATTATTAGCTCTATTTTATGGAAAATTAAAGCTCAGAAAAGTTATCTGCTTGCCAAAGATTACAGATGCTACATTATCAAGGAGCCTAGATTTAAATACTGGTTATCAGACTCCAAAACCCCTGCCATTAACCTTTAGGCTGTTTGGTAAGATAAAGGGTGCATAAGAATTGTTAAATAAGAACCCAAATACTATCACGGTCAGGTGTTTAAGTGGTAGTTTATGCAGGGCTTGGCAAGCAGTAGGTACTTAATAAATGCTTGTGGAAGGCAAGCAGGCAGACAGGAAAGGTGAGCAGCTGGTGTGTGGTGGGTGAAACAAGTGCTAGGAGAGATGGCATTAGATTAATGAGCAGGACTTGCACTGCTGGAGAAAGAGAAGGACCTTCTAGGAGAGTCAAACGTACAAGCTGAGAAGCAAGGGGGTGTAAGTGGATCCAGAGTGTGTCTGGGAGGAAGGAGGCCAGGTGGACTAGAGCAGGCAATTGTCTACAGGTGAGTAGCAGGAGGTACGTTTCAGAAGGCATGTTGGACTCAGATCACTAACAAAACATTTGGGGCCCTATTCTACAGACAGTTTTAAGTCACTAAGGGTCTTTGAGCCTGGGAATGGCATAATGAAAATGGGCTTCTGATACAGTGAATCTGACCTTGGTTGGCAGCAGAGATTGGAAGAAAAAAAGTGAGTCTGTCTGTGAAGCTGTTGCAGTAGCCCCGCCATTAGCACTGTGTGTATGATTGGGAGTCAGTGACGGGTGGAGGTGAGACCTTCATCCCCTCAGGAGAGGGGCATGTGGCAGAGTTCCCTGGACACTTCCAGGCTGGGAGGTTGTGGGATAACACCTTGGAGTGGAAGATGATTTCTTCTGTTTAACTCACTGCCCCTCTGGAGAGAAAAGTTCTGAGAGAATGGGGACCAGAATAAGGAAGCTTTGATTAGGAGAAATGGTAGAAATGCCCAGACTTTGGGCACCTGGGGCAGGCTAGAGGCACAGGCCCCTCCTGGGGAAGCTGCCAGGTGCTTTACCCCAGCTGAATGGTGGCAGGAGGAGCCCTGAACCAGGAACCCAAGTTAGATTAGATTCGCCTGATTAGAATCCCAGCCTGCCATGTACAAAAGCTAGGTGAGTTTGGTTAAGTCATCTAATTTTTCTAAGAGAAGTGATCTGGAAACATCCTGTCCAGTACATGGCATGTGACTTGTACTTAACAAATGCGTACAGAACAAAGCTTCTATTTTCTCACCTGAGAAATGGGTATAAGAATCTCAGATCTGCCCGCTTGCCAGGGCTGCGGGGAGGGTCAGATGAGAGGTGGGTTGGAGCACTTTCTGTAGAGGCAGTAGACCAGCCTCAGGGGGAATATCGTGATCTTTGTGGGTCTGAGCACTCTGCAGAGATCCCTTTCCAGAAGCTGAGAGGTGTTTTTAAAAATCTCTACACATGTTTCTTCCAAAAGGCGGCAGCAGCCTTTGTGTGCTCTCACCCCTGGAGAGACAGGGAACAGAAGGGAGAAGGTGCTGAGGGCCCTGTGGGCACTGGACCATAAACTCTTTAGGGCAAGAATGGGCTCCATCCCTGTCCCCAGTGCTCAGCATTGTACCTGAGTGGATCGAACTGACCCCTTTGATGCCCATGAGCACCACACATAGGGCCAACAAGACATCCATAGCTCAAAGCCAGTGCTAAGTCCTGACCCAAAACCAGGTTCCAGTGGAGGGATGGGTGGCCCCGTTAAACTTAACGTAGAGATGGAAGGAGCTGGCAATGGTGAGCAGGTTGGGGTGACCTCTTAGGCTGAGGGATTCTCCGTGGCCTGACAGTCAAGGCCCTTCACTGTCTGCCTCCTGACCAACTTTCCATTCTCTCCTCATGCCACCTGCACGCCCACACACAGCCTATATCCTCCCCACCTCTACCCTGGATCTTAATTCCCTTTCTCCCCAGCTGCACCCCCAGTGACAGTTTTCACCTGTTGGAGGTCTGGCACGTGAAGGGTTAGCCTGCAGGAAGTAACTCTATCCTGTCAGTCTCTCTGCCCTGTGCTCTTCTGCTGAACTCCCAGTTTCCTCCCAGAGCCATAATTACAAATATGGATGTTCCATCTCCCTTTTTGCCCTTTAGTTCTTCAGGGCTTGGGTCCATACATATTTTTACAGATGAGCAAACTACCTCTTCTTCCCCCAAGATCTGGCACAATGTCTTAACACAGAGCAGGTACTTCAAAAACAAGTATTAAGGGAATGACTAAATGAATACCCATCATAACCGCAGGAGTGACCTTGAACCCGCACTGTCCCTAGTACATGGTGTGCCTTCGGTGGTCATCCGCCAGCACACAAAGGCAGTCCCAGTACAACCTGAGAACCCTCCTGGTCTCACGTGAAATGGTGACCCAGCAGGTGGCCCCGGGAGTTCTGTCCTTTGCAGATTGGATTTGTCATCTCCCAGGAGCCTGCCCAAGAACACACACATGGTCTCGCTTCCCCCTGCCTGTGCCCCATTCTCATGCTGAGGTGTCTACTTAGGTTCTCCAAGGGGACCTGGCTAGGCGTGGTTTCCGCCAGCTGTTTCTGCCCCTGCCTCCTGCCTCAGGATGCAGGGGGGCGCCTTTCTGTCAGCTCGGCAGGTTCCTCACCAGCCTGCCACCTTCAGTTGAGTGACTCCTTTGGCCTTTCCCAGAGGCAGGGGGCATCCAGTTGTCAAGCCTGCCGTGCCAGGGCTGTTAAGCTGGGCACTTCGTCACAGGAGACCCTGTCCCTGATTGTTTTCCAGGCCGTGGTGGTGACTGATGGGGAGCGCATCCTGGGACTGGGCGACCTGGGCTGCTACGGCATGGGCATCCCTGTGGGCAAGCTGGCCCTGTACACGGCGTGTGGAGGGGTCAACCCACGGCAGTGCCTCCCGGTGCTGCTGGATGTGGGCACCAACAACGAGGTAATGCGCCACTTGAGCCGGGAGCTCAGGGCCACAGGACGGCAGCAGGGGTGTGCGGGGAGCACCTTTGGGGGCGGTTATATCTGGGCAGCTTTGGGGCCCTTTCTCTCCTGGCTTCCCTTTGCCAGGGCTCTCCCCATTTTACAGATGAGGAAACTGAGACTGAAACCCATTAACCACTTAGCTCAGATCCCAGTGCTGTAGGTGTCAGAAGCAGGATTTGAACCCAGGTCTGTCTGGCTCCAGAGCTGCCCTGCCCACTGTGGCACGCGGCTCCAAGGAGTCAGGTACTGGTGTCATAGACGGGGGAATGAAAGCTAGGGGAGTAGGTGTGTCATGCAGTCAGGGTCCACGGACACTCAGGAGCAAGTCAGAGTGTACAGGTGCTGTGTGCACAGTCTTCCCCCTCTGAGAAAGGGAAACACCCCCCCCAGCCTTCCTGAAGCAACTTAATATACAAAAGTCCAATCACAGAGGGGCCAACGTGGTGATTTCTGTCTTTCCAAGTGCACTTACTATGTGTTCTCCCACACTACAGTTCTTCTTAAAAAGTGAATCAGTTTGCAGGATTTTTTCCCCAGAAGTCTTGGGGCTCAGCTCTTCCCCTGAGCAATAGGAGAGGGGCTTCTAGGCCTTGCAAGGTTCAGCTGCTGCGTCAGTGCAGGGAGGGTGCTGCTGTGAAGGCTTGAGGTCCGTGTGTGTACCTCTATAGTAACTCCTGAGGCAACAGCAGCTTTAATCAGAATCAGAAAACCCATCCTGGTTCCTGTTGAAGGAAAACATCTGCTGTCTGTGGCCCTGGCACTCTCAGTCACTTCTACCTGCCTATACCAAGGAGGTTTGGAAATATAAATATGGGGGACAGTGAGCCCGTGAAGAAGGGACATGACACAACAACGTCCCAAGGGGCCAGCGTGAGGAGGCAGGTTAGGCAGGGGGAGGTGCTTGTGTATTTTGTTTCATCCACATGCAGGCCAGACAGAGTCACAGCCTGTCCAGTTGAGAAGGGGCCTGAAATACTTCTTGGTCAGCCCTCATTTCACACAGGGAAGGGACCCCAGAGCAGAAATGGTTTCTTCAGATTTGACTTCAAGCCCAGTGTTCATCCCAACTTGATGCTGAGGGTCCAATGGGGACCCCTGGGGCCTTGGCTTTAAAACGGCCTCTGAGCCTTAGCAGTCATCTCTGGGCAAAAGTCTCAAGCCTTGGACTCACCTTGCCACGCAGTGCTGTGTGAGCTTCTGAGGAACTGACGAACCAGGGGAGTGGAGGGGAGTCCTGCCTGTTCTGGGAGATGTGGGGACAGATTCTCAGCAGAGCCTGGTAAACGGCATGTGGGGGTGCTACTGGACTGCTGAGGAAGTGTGGGATGGCAGCAGAGCTGGGCATCCGAGGGCTGCTTCTACCTGGAAAGAGCATCATTATTGCGGCTCATAAATAGCACTCACCACGTGGTGCCAGCGGAGGTGGCCCTGTGCATGTGTGTGCAGGGAGGGTGCCCTTCCTAGGATCTTTGTGATTTACCCTGGGCTCAACTGAGCTCCCACAGAAATGCGTGTTGGCCCGACGGCCACCCTGACCGGGAAGGGCACTGTGTCCACAGCGTGAACCCAATTCCATGGCCTCCCCAGACCCCCCAGATGCTGACTACATCTTAATGTGCCTGTTGCTATGCAAGATAAGTATTTTTCCAGGCCAGGAGGTTCACCTCTCCTCCAACTTAAATCCAGTGCTCAGTGATATGGCGAGTTAAGAGGAGAAAACCATTTTGTTTTCCATGACAAGCTAAGTGACAGGGCTTAAATTCAAACCCAGATCTGTCCAGTTGCCTAGCCCCAAGCCCCTTCTGCTTCTAAAGCCAGGCCCTACTGAGATGAGGGTGCCCAGAGGGAGCATCTGGACTGGGGCCACCACTGCCTCCCACCTTCAGGATTCCTTCTGCCTCTCTTGATAGGGTTACCAGATTTAGCAAAGAAAAATATGGGATGCCAGTTCAATTTAAATTTCAGAAAAGTAGCTAATCATATTTTAGAATAAGTATGTTCCATGCAGTACTTGGGACATATTTAGACTAAAAAAAATTGCCTGTCTGGAATTCAATTCTGACTGGGGCATCTGTCGTGTGTTTTATTTGGCAATACTACCTGGTGAAAACTTCTAAACATTAAATGAAGAAGTCAAGGATGGAGGGGGCTGCTGGCATTGGGCCCAGAGTGGGTGAGAAGTCCCACACCTTGCTGGCAGCCACCCTTACAGCCCGGGCACTCAGTGGGACACAGAGCAGAATGTGGACTTCTTGTTCCCTGCTGTGCCAGGACAGCTGTGGGAGGTCCACCCTCCGCTGGTGCTGAGAAGCTATATTCCCTCCTGCCAAGGAGACCTAGCTGGCTGGAGATGTGGGCAGAGCCCTTCCCCAGACTCCTTTCTGCTGTCACTGCTCCCCAGCCTGTGGGATGATGGCACCACCTCTTCCGGGAAGAACAGACAGAGGGTAGGAGGCCCGCCAGGTCCCCCAGTTCCCACAACCTGGAGTGATGGGCTCTGTCATGAGATCCGGTCACAACAGGCTCAAGTTTCAGCTCAGCCACTTTCTGGTTGTGAGAACTTGGGCAATTTATTTAAAGCCTTGAACTCCTACCTTCATCAACTGTAAAATGGGCCTGAGAATATATCAGACAGAAGGATCAAATTACTCTTGATTCACAAGAAGTGAATTACTTGGAAGTTCTACACAAGTAGAAGCTATTTTTTAGTGTCATTTCCATAGAGAAACTCTCTTGCCGATTTTTTTTCTGGTGCTGAAGAATTGAAGTATTTCAGGCATAAAACGTTTTAGTATAAAAGTTGAAATATCTGGACACTTTTAAAGCTTTGTAGAGTCACCCCTGTATCTCAACAGTACCTCATAATGACTGGCCTTTGATCTTAAATGCAGATATGCCAAGGCATTTTTGGAAAATTCTAAAATTCTTCAGTGCCACTGGAGAATCTGACTTGCCCCAGAAACCATGTATCAACACAAAGAAATTCACTCTGCTGCCTGGCGCACCAGGAATTCAGATCTTTGACTTGGCAACAGTACAAATTGTAACTCACTGCGGACCCTTTAATCTCTGTGAGAACTAAAAAAAAGTGATGTTTTCTGCAACTGCCAAGAGTTACACTGTTTTTATCATTTTTATATATATCCTTCCAGGCTGTATATGTATGTGTTTCAGATAGCTGAAGTTACATTTGTGTGATTTTGTATCCTTCTCTTCTCACTTTAAATAATCTCATACACATTTGTGCAGATGACTACATAGTCTTAAAACCACCAGGGTTAATGGCTGCTGTCCATTGAGTTGATGTAACACCATTTACTCTAAGGCTCCCCCTTGGCCGGATGGTTGCTGCCTCTAAGTGGCATTAAGATGGTCACTAAAGGTGTCACATGGAGGGATGGATGCTGTATACTCCACTGTCATCCTTTACTCTCGCACACCTGGCAGGGTAGAATCCTAACTGATCTCAAGGATGTATAATCCAGGGCTGAGGAGAGTGAGGAAAGAAGAGAGAAGGGCAGGACCCACCTTCTTGCTGAGTGTAGACCTGTGGTACCTGGAGAAGGTCCTAAACCCACCTCCGAGGTTGTGGGGAGTTGGGAAGGCAGAGATTGCCTGTTCTTTTCTGTCCCCTACACCTTTTCCACACCACCTCCTATAGTGTCATCAAGACAATAGGGACCTGGAGCACTGTCTTTAACAAAAATTAAGTCAATTCTGGTTGATATGCCATAGTGCTGCCTAAGCAGTATGGCCCAGTGGTTTAGACCATGGGCTCTGGAGCCAGGCAGCATGCGTTTGAATCTGGACCCTTCCACTGTTTAACCTCAGTGACTTTTTACTGCATTTGTAAAATGGAGGAAAATACTAAGACCCACCTCCATGTCCACTCAGGCCCTCCAGGAAACAGACGTGTGAAAATGTTACTGGGAGGAACCCTGTGAAGAGTCAAGGGGAGGGAGCGGGTGTAGCTGGGGCCTTCAGACTACAGTGCAGGCCTGACCCCTGTGAAAGGAGCAAGGGAAGGACACCTGAGTACAGAGAGCTCTGCCTGCAGGGCAGCCCTTGGACAGTCTCAGGTGGGCCAATGGACGGTCCCTGCACAAGGACTGCCTGGGAGTCCACGGCAGGGCACATTGCCCTGCCAGCCCCCCACCCACCTGGCTCCGTCAGTGTCTGAGCAGGGCTCAGGGAGAGTGTGTAGCTGACAGCTGTCCACCCTCTACCCTCCCTTAGCAGACTCCCTTAGGGGATCTGAGCCACACACCTACCTGGTCGCCACACGTCACGGGGGCAATACTTGACGTATTCCTTAATATATGGCACGTAGGGAGCTCTATGAAAGTTAAAGCCACTGCCATTACTTAACAGCGAGTGTTATAATTCACAAGGCTCTTTCACATGTATTATTTCATTCAGTCATGACAATCACCCTGTGCAGCTGGCATTTCACCCACATGTGTCAGATGAGAAGGCTCTATGAGGTTACACAGCAAGGCGGTGGTGGAGGTAAGACTTGAGTCTTAACATCAAGCCCCCGAGGCCCCGGCAATGATGTCCTTGCCTTTGAATCCAGCCATAGCATCTCCAACGGAGATGAAGAGAACACAAACCCTGACCTACAAGGTGCTCCTATTTTCAGTGATATAGACACAAAATAGCTAATTCCCAGAAACCCTGACACATGGAATGCCTTCCTGTTTCCTGAACAAATGCACCTGGTTCTTCCTCCTTCCACCTCCAGCCCCCAGCCTTCGTGCTGACTTCTCACCTGGAGGGGATGGCCCACAGGTCAAAATCTGCCCACCTTTTAATGCCTGACCATTTCCCCCACGACACACCACTACCCGTCCCCATGGGAATCACCTCACTCCTCTGCACTTCCACGTGTCACATTCTGTTCCAAAGCAGTGTCACTCCTGACTAGGGCGGCGTTTGCTGGCATACTCCTCAGCCACCACAATGACTGAGCGCCCTAAAGGCAACAGCCATTTCTTACTTACCTCCACATGCCCCCGGGGGCCACTGTCAGCAGAAATAGATGATCGGTGAGTGTGTCACACATGCAAGAGTCCACTGATTCTGTGGTGGGGGGTGTTTGACGGGGAGAGAAGAGGTGGGAAGTTGGCCGGTGGGCATGGCCATCAGACCAGGGCAGATGCAGAAGGAGCCACAAGAGGCAGGATGGGGGGACACCGACACAGGCTGGCATTAGCTGGGCATCTTTATTGAACTGAAATTTCTGGTTGTTTCATTGTATGGCTGTAGCACAGTGCCAGGCACATGGTGGATATTCAGTAAAATTTCGTTGAATGAATGAAGTGTTTTCTAATTTGAGTCCAGATCAGTGGCAAGACCCATATCTCAAGCCAGGTGCTGCCTAGAGCAGTCTTCAACCAGGGACGGTGTTGCTCTCAAGAAGACATTTGGAGTGTCTAGGGACATTTTTTATTGTGTCAACTGGGAGTGCTACTGAGAGTGGCAAGAGGCCAGAGATGCTGCTAAATACCCTACAAGGTACAAGCCAGCCCTCACATCAGAGAGGTATCCGGGCCAAAATGCCAGTAGTGCCCTTGCTGAGAAACCCTGAGATAAACCCAGAGCCTGCAGCCAGGGCTGAGAGAGCTTTGCCTGGTTCCAAGCATCCTTGGCTAGTAAAGTGGGTACCTCCTGGGAGTCTAACCTCAGGCAAAGGCTTAGTCTCCACACACCTCCACGATGGCGCACAGGTTAGAGGGACAGCTGACTGCCAGCTCCCCCCTCCCTCCACCCCCTGGCCCTTCCCACTAAACCAGGACACCTGAGGAGACAGATGCTGTCTGTTCCAGGAGCTGCTCAGAGACCCCCTGTACATTGGCCTGAGACACCAGCGCGTGCGCGGGAAGGAGTACGACGACCTGCTGGACGAGTTCATGCAGGCTGTGACGGACAAGTAAGTGCGCCAGTCTGCCCTTTGGAAGGCAGTCTCCTAAGAGAGAGTGTGACTGAAGTCAGCACTGGTTTTAGCAGGTACACAAACAAGAGGCAGGAGATGCATGCTTTTCTGTGTGGTCTCAAAATTCCAACTTGACCCCATGTACTTGGAAGACTCAAAGACAAATGGGTGTGTTTTCTGGGGAATCTTTGAGGGCACAGCAGAAAGGCATGAAGGCTGATGTCTGAAGGTCTGTGACCTGTAGGTAGTTAGTATCTGATGTTCCAGGAGGAAACCCCTTGGCCTGAGCTGTTCTGGTCTCCTGGCATCAAGAGGGATGTTGTGAGCAGTGGATGAAAGAAGTGTGCCATTCTAATGAAATGACTTTAGAAGGCAGTTTGCCATGTCAGTCATCATTTCCCACCTCTACATGAGGACCAGGCAGCATTAATGAGCCACCATAGCAGGCCACACGGGCTTTGAGCCTGTGAGATTTATGAGGTGTCATCTCTGCACTAGAGTGCATAATATTAGTGGCTTCTGCCCCCTTCACCTGCCCCATATGTCTGCTGCCATGGCTACCCATGCACACTGACGTGCTACTGGGATAGAGTTCTGGAAACAGCCCCCCTCCCCCTCGTGTTTATTCTGACAGGAAAGTCAGTGAAGACAGAATTTCAGCAGCTCAGCAGGCCTCTGCAGAGCCATGAGTCCCCTTTACCCTTGAAAACCTCCAGCCTTTCCTGCCATCTCAAGAGTACGCAGGTTTGGCAGAGCTGGCCTGGACGTCCTGGGCAAAACACTCGCTTGTCTAAGCTCATGCACATGGACCCAAAGCACTGGGCTGGAGAGAGAGCTGCTCTGGCCTCCGCACCCACAGTCCCATTTGGGTGGGCTTTGGGGGTGGGAAACTGGATTTGGGTCTTCACTTCACCACTTCCAAGTCTGTGACGTTGGGCAGGTGAAGGAAAGTCTTCTTATCTGGAGATAAGAAGAAAGCATTTTATTGTTGTGTTTTTGTTTTTTTACAAGGAGAGAAAATAATATTGTAGTTACATGTGGTGGGAAAGATCCTATAGAGAGGAGGAAATCAGTAATGGAGAGTGGGGTAGTGGAGCAAAATTCCCGAGTAAGCCAGAAGGAAGGATCTAGTGCACCCCTGGAGAGCCTGGCCTTAGATAGGAGCACAGAGGCCCATCTGCAGGGACAGAGGGAAGGCAGAGCCACGGGCACAGGCACAAGCAGGGGGCAGATGTGCGGGAGCGCGGGAGCCCCACTGGATGAAGGCAAGGTCGTCCGCTGAGAGGGAGAGTGGGTTCAGAAGTGCTGGAGGTTTAAGGATGGAGAGGTAAGACCTGGAATGTCCACTCTAGGGAACTAGAGGATGATAGCTGTGTAGCTCCATGGCCCCCGGGAGATTACAGGGCATGAATTTGACTTAGGCCAGTCAACCTTTTTCTGTGGTGTTCTCTAGCCAGCTTCAACCATCTGAGTGCAGGGCAAGAAGAGGCAGAGAATGCGATTTCATTAGGGTTGGAATGTTCACGGGCAAGAGAGAAGAATTGGGAGTGTATTCCAGGGGACAATTATAACGATGGGTCATGAGGTCTAGGCTGAGTGAGAAAGAACACAAGGGCGGGTGGAGAGGTGGTATGAACAATGGATGGGGAAGTCCTGGTGAGACCTCTGGAGTTGGGTAGTAGACGGAATGAGCAGGGAAGAAAGGAGGTGATAATCAGAATGGCAGGTGTTGGGAGCAGAGATCATGGAAGAAGTGTTGCTATTGAGATGTGACCACCAGAGCAGCTAATTGGAAGGTCAGCTGCATTAATAGAGGCATAGCATGTAGGACAAAGGAGGTGAATGCCCCCTCCCAGACCATCCTGAATACCATATCTGGTTCCAAACAAGACACTTTATGGGTCATCAAGTCCCTGAAGTGCCTTTAGAGAACAATAATGACGACAAAGGGAGCCAAAGGCTTAGTCTGGTGGGGAGAAGACTTAGGGACGGCTACATCTGTATCCGGGGCACAGTACACCTCCAGGTACCTAAAAGGTGACCTGCAGAAGAAGACTGGACTGACTTCTGTACACCAGGAGAACCATGGAGAAGAACCAGTTGGCGAACTGCCAGAGGAGGCAGTCTTCGGCACAGTGTAAGTCAGAGCCATCCCGGCATACACCGGACTCTAGGGGAAGGAGTTCTCTGTCACAGAGAGAGTTCAAGGGTGAGTTGCAGGGCTGACTGGTGGCACGGTTCTAAGACGGAACTGGGGCAGTGACACTCCTACGTCAGGATTCTATTTGGACCTCTGAAGATCCCTGTGTGGCTGGCGGATGTTATCATCCCCATCTTATGGAAGAGGAAACTGAGGCCCTGAGAGGTCGAGGAACCTGCCTCGGGTCACACAGTGTGTGGCTGGATGCAAGTGGAACTTGCGTCTGCTGCCTCCACAGCCAGACTGCTTCCTACAGTGCTGTTACCTGTGGATGGGAAGAGAAGGGAATGGACTTGGCTCTACAAGCCCCTGCTTCCCGTTTCCAGGGCTTTCTGCTTACCTAATGAGTCACAAGTCATTCCATGACTCCCCACAGAGAAGTCTTGCTGTTTGTGTGAGAAGGTTAAATAAACTAGGATATAAGAGGCTTTCAAACTATCATCAAAATCAGTTCACAGTCTCACAGACACTCAGGCAAACCAGGGGTGAGCCCTGGGGGCAGGGCATGTGTCAGCCAAGAGGAATGTGTCCTTAAGTGGAAAAGTTGATGGCTTGACAGCTGATTGCTTTGACTCTCTAATAAACTAAAGCAGATGTTTCTGTGGATACTGTAGGTGGGAAATGAGCTGGTCCCCCCGGGCACTCTTGGGAATATAGTGGCCTCAAGATGGAATGCCCGGCCTGGGGGTGAGTCAGCAGCCCCAAAGCCGAACACAATGTATTTTAAGGAAGAACCTTGGGAAACACTGACTCCTGCCTAGTCTCTTTCCAAACATCCTGCTAATAAAAAGCTCCACCTCCCTGCCCCTCTCCACAAATCCGGATGTAACTTAAGATTTTTTGGCCTGAAAAAAAGTCCTTATGACTCAGTGGCTAGGCTGGAGTTTGGCCAGTGGGAGGACCCACGAGGGCAGGAGGAATCTCCATGTAAGTCTGTGAACCGCAGCAACACATAGCTGTGAGTGTCCAGCTCACGGCTCAGACAGGCTGACGTCCCCTGGGGAAGCCCGTCATTCCTTTCTTCCTGCTCTTTCCTTGCACTGCGGTTGGGCGCAGACCACTGCACCTGAGTGACAGGTTTCTCCCCACCGATGGTTTCCCCTTACGTTTTTCATTTCTGTTGCTTATGTAGCACGGATGGGAATGGCCTGTTTGAGTTTGCACCGGGAGCTCTAGCTCTGTCTCACACTTGATCTGGTTGGACAGAAATTTGATGTCAACAGGAGCTTCAGCATTTAGGCAGGCCAGGAAAAGAAACCACCCCCTTTCTCCACAGCTCCAAAACCCTAAAATGGAGATTGCTAAGCAGCTGAGATGAGTGATAAAAAAGGGAAATGATTTTCTTTTTTTAAAAGAGTTCTTTGCTCCAAGAATATTTCTTTCTTTTTAGTCTCTCCATTTTTCTATCTCTGGTTCTCTTACTCTCTCATTCTTTGTCTTTTTTGCATGCACCGTCCTACATTTGATAACCGAGGCACATGCATAGTGGGACCGGCACAGTGTCATTTCCACCATGTTCTACTAGTTAAAGCAAATCCCAGGTCCATACCAGGTTCCAACGGAGGAGATAACATAAGGGCATAAATACCAGGAGGCATGGTTCACTGGGGCATGTAACAGACTATATCCAACCTGCAGAACACATCGAAACCACATCCAACCTGGGGGGCACGAACACTGGGGCAGCCAGCATTATAGGAGGTTGTGCTCTGGAAATGCAAGAAGGTCAGAGAAAAGAATAACATTTACTTGTGCAAGCAGGGAAGTTTATCATATAATACTGATATACAAGACGCTGTGCCGGGCATGCTCGACAATCCATGGAAAAACAAACAGTCCTGCTCTCAAGGAGCTTCTCTTTCACAGACATTTTTAGGTGTCTGCTGGCATTGAGAGCGGATCTTTAAACTTTGGTAGCCTCTGCGTAAGTCCAGAGCTCAGGAAGAGTTCTAGGGTAGAAATATAAAGGTGGGAGTTACCAGTTCACAGATGGCATGTAAAGCCAAGGGAATGATTGAGTTCACTGAACCAGGGAGAGTGGAGAGAAGAGAATGCGGCTCACCCCCATTTTCTGAACTGTGCCCTGTGGACACTATAAGTCAAAGGGCTCAGTGAAATTTAGGACTAGGCTAGGATACTGCTGGCAGCAATGGCAAGTAGTGTAAGAAGGTTTCGTTCTCCGAACCAGCTGATTGCTAGGATTCTAAGGGCTCTCTAGGTCCAGCAAGGTGGTTGATCAGCCATGTCTTCCCCGGCAGGGGAGGAGGTATGGCAGCCCTGGGCTGTGATCTGACCATCTCAGGCCTGCAGGGAGCCCAGGGGCCCGAGCACCTGCGGCCCCAGGAGTGCTCACACTTGCTTGTCTGCCTATGATCTCTACAGCTGACTAGCACCTCAGAGCCCTAAGGGGCCTGAGGTTGAAGGGTTCAGGATAAAGCAAGCCTGTCGGTTTGGTCCACACGGAACTGCTGCTGCTTCTGCTGAGTTATGAAATTCACAGTGAAGAATATGCTTCCTTGGGTCCCCTGCATCCTCACCTTCACCCCCGTCCCACTCTGGAACAAAACAGTGGACCAGATACAAGTATGCTTGTGGATACTGCCCTGGGGCTCCCAAACCTGGCTTGGCATCAGAATGACCAGGGGAGTTACAGACCCCAGGCTCCTGTGCCGTAGTAGGCCTGCACTGAGGCCTGGGGGTATTTTTGAAGCTTTCCTGATGCTTCTTATACTCCCTGCAAATATTAAAGTGTGAAATATCCTGATGGATCTCACCCCAGGAGAGACATGTTGTGAGC